TGGGGTTAGAGAATGAAACTAGAACATGCTTATTTACCTTGATTTCTCTACAATTGTTTAACCATTGCAGCTTATATGGCCTTGGATGCTTCGTCATAGATAAATTAAGCTTTTCAACCAAAACAGTGCTAGCACATTCAAAACTCGCCTACATACCTTGTTTTCGACATGGCACCTCGTGTGAAATATATTGTCACGTTGTACTTTATCATCTTCTTTGGCTTGCACATTCAAAACTCGCCTGGTGAGGAGCAATTCTCCATCAACGGCATATTCCACACCATTATTAGCATGTTCTAATAGTGGCATAGATTCATCATCAGATTCACCCTCGGTTTCAATTTCTTCATCTTCGCTCAAGATCATTGTGTGCTTATTAGGACATTGCGATGCAACATGCCCCCTTCCCAAGCATTGAAAACATTTGACGTCTCGGTTTCTGCCTTGCGTATTATCTGTTTTAGTCTTCTCATTGTTGCCAACTTCTTTTGACTTAGATGTTGGAATTTTAGGCTTAAAAGCAGAATTTTCTTCCTTTTTGATCCAATTCAGTCTCCAAGAAGATGAGGAACCTGAATTTTGCCTAGTTCTGGTGGTGGCTCCTTTACACTTGAGTTGCCATTCTACTTTCATCGCCATATGCACCATATCTTCTAATTCCACATAATGCTGCAGCTCCACCACATTAGTTATATCATGATTTAAGCCATGCAGAAACCATGCCATAGCTGCTTCTCTGTCCTCTTCCACATTCACTCTAACCATTGCGATTTCCATCTCTTTGTGATAATCCTCAACGCTTTTGGACCCTTGAGTAAGGCCCTACAATCGTTGATAGAGATCACGGTAGTAGTGACTAGGAACAAATCGTTTTCTCATCACAGCATTCATCTCCTCCCAAGTGTCAACAGGACGCTCTCGATTTCTATGTCGACTAAGCACAAGCTGATCCCACCACATCACAGCGTAATAAGTAAATTCCACCGCTGCTAGTTTCACCTTTTTCTCCTCAGAATAGTTATGGCAATCAAACACCAATTCCACCTTCTTTTCCCAGTCCAAATACACATCTGGATCATTTTTGCCTTGAAACAGAGGAATCTTCATCTTGATGCTACCTAAGTCATGATCTTACCGATCTCCCCAGTTGGTCAGGTTTTGCTCTCCTCAGTTAAAGCAACCTTTTTGACCCCCTCTACGTCTCATAAATCTGTCCATGCTGAAATTTGAGTTTTGGGCATCATTGTTGAATGCATCTTCATAATCGTCATTGAGATCATCATTAGCATCATTCCTACACAAATTCGGACTTCCATTTTGTATGTGGTATAAATTGGCTATAGCTGCATCTTGCTTCTGCATTTTGTCTCTAATCTCACCAAACATGATGTCCAACCTCTGAAATTGTTGTTGCATTGCTTTGAGCATGAGAGATTCATCCACATGGTGTCTTCTAGTGGTTGATTTGTCATCACCGCTTGACATGATTGAAACCTACAACGAATGTTAGAAACAGAAGAATAAAAGGTCCTCACAACACTCTCTTACGTGTTTCACTCCACTTTCTCACAGAATGGCACTCAACGCCCTTGTTTTGCACACTGTAGAACTTGGCTTTTCTCTTAAGTGTTGCTCACACCTCTTGCATTTTTCCCTCACTCAACTTTCCTCTTTCAGTTTGTTATTGAACTAAACAAGTTCAATTCAAGTTATTTTGCAGCAATCTACCTCCAACAAGGAAATAGAAAAATACAAAGGAACGACCAAGAAAAGCAATAAAAGAAACAACCCAACAAATTAAAATGAACAGATCAGTTCAAGCACTTCCTAGTAGGAATTGACTTGACTATTCCTTAATGCAGTAGGATTCCTAACTTAGAAAGGAATAAATAAAATTGCTATCTCCTTGTTTGAATAGAACTCAAAAAGAATTTCCAACTCCTTATTGGAGTAGGATTCCTTCTTCTTTAAGGATTTGGCCACAAATTTCTTCTCTATATAAGGAATTCCAACTACAGAATTGTGTTGCTTGTTTCTCTCTCTCCTTTTTTTTTCTTTTTTTTTTTACGTCTCCTTTTTTTTTGGCGGTCCTTTTCCTTTTGTTTTTGTATGACTTCTTTCTTTTTCCTCTTTTTTTTTTTCGTGCTTTTTCTCTCTTTTTTCTTTTTAAACCAGCAACACAAATTCAAAAGAGCAAAATAAGAAAGAGAAAAATGATACTGAATTTTGTTTTGTTTTGTTTTTTTACGATAAAAACTGAAAATTAAAGGTACGCAAACCTGATTTAGGATCTGATGCTCTGATACCAAGATGATGAGAACCTGATGGGAATCAAGACGACAGCATATCTACTACGTCATGTGATCCATTACACACCCAAGGAGATCCAGTCACGCGAGCTAGAGCTAAGAAGACGCGTGAAGCTTTAAATGGCCTTATTGAGCAGATCTGGGTTGAAAACAACATACAACAAGCAAATTAAAGCTTGGATGATTATCAAGGCATGATAAACATCATTCAGGTTCAAGAGAAGCTTAATTGAGGTCATTTATGCTAAATTACACAATTTGCGTCAATCTCGCAATTCTGTTGCAATTTGTAACAAACTGATATTTCATGTTACTTTAGGTTACTTTTAGTGATTTTCATGTTTTTTATATTATTTTGGGCTGAACATTCATTTATTTAAAGCCCAATTCGTGGATATTATGATTAGGGCTTAGGGTGTTAGTTTTCTATTCTGATTAGAATTACTTTTCCCTATTTAAAGGGGCTTGTAACCCTAATTGAAAGCGATTGAATCTGAGTTTTGAGAGACTTTTCTCTTTGGTTTGTTTCAAAACTTTACAGAACTTATCAAGATTATTCTTGTGGCGTTCTAACCTGACTTATCATTCTTGTTCTTAATCGCTCGAGGGTGTGGCGTCAACCAACTTTATACCTCTGGTTCTTGTTGCGTCATAGACCCAAAGAGAACAATGAGACCCACAGCACGACAAGGGATTTCTAAACTCCAGCAAAGCTAAATCAGATTTATTATAATAGGACCTTGACCCGTTGTCTATGACGCAACAAGAACCAGAGGTATAAAGTTGGTTGACGCCACACTCTCGAGCGATTAAGAACGAGAATGATAAGTCAGGTTAAAATGCCACAAGAATAATCTTGATAAGTTCTGTAAAGTTCTGAAACAAACCAAAGAAAAAGTCTCTCAAAAACTCAGATTCAATAGGCCCCCCCCCCAATTACGGTTACAAGCCCTTTAAATGGGGAAAAGTAATTCTAATCAGACTAGGAAACTAATACCCTAAGCCCTAATCCTAATAACTACGAATTGGGCCTCAAATAAATGAATGTTCGGCTCAAAATAATATAAAAAAACATGAAAATCACTGAAAGTAACCCGAAGTAATATGAAATATCAGTTTGTTACAAATTGCAACAGAATTACGAGATTTTGATGTAAACTGTGTAATTCAGCATAAATGACCTCAATTAGGCTTTTCTTGAACCTGAATGATGTTTACCATGCCTTGATAAGCATCCAAGCTTCGATTTACTAACAGCATGTTGTTATCAACCCAAATCTGCTCAATAAGGTCATTTAAAGCTTCTTGCATCTTCCTAGCTCTACTTCTCATGACTGGACCTCCTAAAATGTGTAATGAATCTCTTGACGTGGTAAATGTGGGGTCATCTTGATTCCCATCACACGAAAGTTTTGGACAAAAATTTTGCACTTTGGGGTAAAGTCAGATTAGGACTCCTGGATATTAGAACAATGGAAAGAAACAATAAAATAAAGGTTAAATACCCGTTTTTGTCCCTCTACTATAGGAAAAAGCCTCTTTTTGGTCCCTGTACTGAAAAAATTCCTTTTTTAGTCCTTACTGTTCACAAATCCAGCCCCTTTTTGGTCCCTCCGTTAATTTTTGCTCACGTGGCACGTTAACTTAACTAAAACAGCTGATGTGGATATGCCAACATGTAAA